ACCCTGTAAAAACTACAGTGCCCTCAAATCAAAGGTTTATATCCCCCTAAAGAAGTTATCTTTTTATGTGCTGTCCCACAAATATATATATTTGATAACACTGACAGTGGAAGTTTCTTTAGCAACTCTTGTTTTCCTCCCAGGAATGCTTTCATCATCAAGGCATTAGGTTTCTGAGCATCTCACATGGTTGTGTGAGAAAAAGTATAGTTAGATGATGCACTGACAAAATCATGACAAACATCTGAGAGAATACAGATGTGGATCATGTCATGTGCTTTTGTCCTCAACATTCGTACCCTTTTGACTTAGTAGTTGAACATAATTTTATAGCTATAAAAAGCTCTAATGATTACTGCATTCATCCGTTGCTTTGTAGTCCTTTAAAAACAACCAGGCATACATTTATTCTTTAAATTTATTCATTAAACATTTATTCTTTGCCCATTATATAACGAGGCTGCACAAAGTGCTGGAATCTACTGTTTTTGTTTATCCAATCAACCCTTTGATAATTGAGATGATAGCCAAAAACCAAAAATAGATATTGTATTTCTCATTTTAGACCCATACAATTCAAATTCTCCGAATACACCCCTATTTTAATGGAAAGTGCTAGGTGGATAATAGTTCATTAGGGAGGCACGCATAAAGTAGTAACACCACACTAATTCTGGTTTTGGCACCTGAGCAAGAGCAGAAACCAATCTCCTTGAAAAATCCGCACAAAAAGCAAAGTTTTCCTTTAGCCATACCCCTTTCCTTTCTCTAGCCCTCCCCTAATTCCGGCAGTCCTCCTCCTCCATTATTTATTGGCTTCATTTATTCATTGCGTGCACTCACTCACCAACCAGTTACTTTTCAAACAAGAGTAAGGCACTCGGCCAGTGGAGAAACAAAGATGTGAAAGAGAGGGACCCTGATTAAGGCCGCTCTTGATTCTGTTGTGGAGACAGGTCACATCCGGGCATTAGAACAGTAAAAAGACACACATGACAAATGTCACTTAGTGTACATAATTGTGAGAGCTCAGAGGATGGGAAGCACCCAAGTTCTTTGCCCATGAGACCAGCGTTCCCTGAAAGGACCCCTTCCTCTCAACCAGAGGCTTAGAACCTCGCTGCACCTCAGAGCCACCCGCAGAGTTTTCAGAAGTCCTGATACTCAGGCCAAATTGAGGTCCTACTAAGAAAATCTCTGGAGATTGGACCCAAATATCAGTTTGATTTAAAAAAATTTTTATTAATTTATTTTTGTTACAGATGTTTCTCCTTTCCCCCTCATACACTCTTCTCCCTATCCCCACCCCCAAGCATTGTTGTCTGTGTCCATTGGTTACGCATACATGCATATAAATTCTTTGGTTCATCTCATCCATAACCCCCACTCCCCTCCTCTGAAGTTTGTCAGTCTGAACCATACTCCTTTCTATGTCTCTGGGTCTATTTTGTTCATCAGCTTTTTTTTGTTCATTATATTCCACAAATAAGTGAGATCATGTGGTATCTGTCTTTCGCTGATTGGCTTATTGACTAAGCCAATCAGTTTGATTTGTTGTTGTTGTTGAGATAGAGTGGGAGGGAGGGAGAGAGAGAGAAACATCGATGTGAGAGGGACACATTGAGCAGTTGCCACCTACACAACCCAACCAGGGCCGGGACAAACTGCAACCAAGGTACGTGCCCTTAGCAGGAACCGAAACCGGGTCTCTCTGGACCGCAGGCTGATGCTCAAACCACTGAGCCAAACCAGCCAGGGCGAATCAGTTTGATTTTAAATTGGCTATTCCAGCCCTGGCCGGTTTGGCTCAGCGGTTAGAGCATCGGCCTGCGGTCCAGAGACACCTGGGTTCGGTTCCCGCTAAGGGCACGTACGTCGGTTGCAGTTTGTCCCCGGCCCTGGTCGGTCGTGCAGGTGGCAGCCACTCGATGTGTCCCTTTCACATCGATGTTTCTTTCTCTCTCTCTGTTCCTCTCTCTCCCTCCCACTCTACCTAAAACAAAAAATGGAAAAATGTCCTCGGGTGAGGATAAAAAACAAACAAACAAAAATAAATAAATAAATAAATAAATAAATAAATAGGCTATTCCAATGTGCAGCCTAGGCTGAGAACCATTGTTTTAAATATTCCCTATTCTTTTAAATCTCATATTACCCAAACTTTAATATCACTTTCCCTCATTACCATGGAAAGGAGCGTAGAAGACAAATAACATCAGGGAAAATACTCACTTTTCTTATTTTCTTAAAAAAAATAAAATCCACAAATAAGCAAACAAACAAATACAAAGCAACAAGATTGTCCTTTTCTGTAAGTTCATAAGATAGGAAATGAAAAAGTACCCCTCAAAAAGAGAGATCTTGATAACCAGGGGTGGGCATAGCAGTGAGGTGGCAAGAAAGGCACCTGTGTGTGGCCTGTGGTGTCGTTTGAGAGATTCGGGAGAGAAACGTGATCATCAGAGGAAGGGGAGACTGAGTAGGTTAAGCCTATCTGGTCCGATGCGCTGGTCTTGGACAAAGGAAGTGGAACGGTAGAAGGCGGTTTGATTTATTTTGACAATAAACTTTTAGTATTCCAATAAATTTCACAATATTAGACTGGTGGCCAAATTATATTTTTATGATCTGTAACAATAAAACAAGCAAACAAACAAACAAACAGAAGTCATAAATCAAGACTTGGACTCTGACCTTTCCATGATGGATGGGGATGGGAGTTGGGGAACTACAATAAAGTGCCCCCAGTGTGGCCACTGTTATGAAATTGTGAAATGTGTTGGCATAGTTACAAAAAGTCTGCTGTCAGCAATGAAGGTTAAGTGCAACAATGCAGAAAAGATTTGTTTTGAAATGTTCTGTTTATATCTGATGACTAAAAGCATCTTTTCTGTTTTTCCTTTATAGTATTGACAGTGATATGAATTAGGAAGCCAATAATAAATTTATTTATTTATTTAGAAGCTCAGGGAGAGAAAAGACCCAGGTCCTGACCCTGGTTCCTTGTTAACTACCTGTGGGAATATGGGTTATCATTTAATTCCTTCTGAGTGAAATGGGGGATAGTATCTATTTCAGAAAGCTGTCAAATTTAGATAAAGAACAAATAATACAGTTGAGGCTCTTAGTAATTTCAAGGCTTTTCCTCTTTTTTTGTTTGCCTGTTGTAGCTGCTGTGATCACTAAGGCCGTTCCAGTTCTTACAGATGTAGGGAAGGTACCTATTTTAGACATCCATGGAATAGAAGGAGGGGCTGCGTCACCGAAATCTAAATATAGCATCTTCTGCAATTAATTAACTTGCTGAAATCACTGGGGGCAAGTCATCGAATATTTTCAATCTTCTGTCGATCAACAGATGAGGTCTTACTATAGCTGAGGGTGGCAAACTCAAAAACTAGCTGGGCCTGGCAGGTTCTATGGTGAACTGGAGAGTGAGCCGAGCTCTCTTCAAGGGGCAGCCTCTACTGAGTTTCAGCAGGTTGCTGGCATGTAGGAATTTAGGCTCAGTTGAGGCCAGACTTAATTCTTCAAGGAAAGTCAGATCCATATTTAATGTAAAATCTTCCTGTTTTAAAGCACTGATGATGAATTTAAATTTTTTTTTTATCCTTTCCTGAGGACATTTTTCCATTTTTTTGCTCAGATAGAGAGGGAGGGAGGAGAGAGAGAGAGAAACATCGACGTGAAAGGGACACATCCAGTGGCTGCCACCCGCATGACCCAACCAGGGCAGGGGACAAACTGCAACCGAGGTACGTGCCCTTAGCAGGAACCGAACCGGTCTCTCTGGACCACAGGCCAATGCTCTAACCGCTGAGGCAAACCGGCCAGGGCAAATTTCATTTTTCTTGTAACATTGTGGGGGCCAAACAAAACCCATCTGAATGCAGCCTGTGTGCTACCAGCCTGCACCTTTGGATTTTGAAGACCCTTTTCACTTCCAGTACCCTCTGCTCTAGGAGCCCAAGAAGAATTGTCTGCATCTCAGGAGAGCCTCTGCCTGAAGACTAGAAGTAAACTCATGCTGCTGTTTCCAGGTCAGTGTCTCCTGCTGTTAGTGTTTCACCCTAATGAGTTTCACCTCCCGGGCAATAATTATTCAAACAGCTTCTTGTTCCAAAGTTAAAATCCATTATATTTCCTGTTACTTGCTTAAGTGCAGAGACATAACTGCCTGCATGTTAATGTTATTTTATTGTTTATTTATTTATTAACACCCGTGGTTGCTGGTTTCAATCCCCCAGGGCCCACTTTTATTTTTTTGCCAACTCTTGGGAGGTAAAACTTTAATGAACTTTAACATTTGTAAAGCTGAGTGTTTTATAAAAATCTTGAAGAAACACAGTCTTCCATCCCACGTGTTATAGACTGAATTGTGTCCCCTGTTATAGACTGAATTGTGTCCCCTGTTATACACTGAATTGTGTCCCTTCAACATGTATATGATGAAGCCGTGACTAACCCCCAATGTGACTATGTTGGGAGATAGGACCTGTAAGGAGGTGATTAAGGTTACATCACATTGTGGGGCCTGTAAGACTGGTAAGAAGAGGAGTGGACACTAGGAGTGTGGGTGCACAGAAGAAAGGCCATGTGAGGAGACGGGGGAAAGTGGCCATCTGCAAGCCAGGAAGACAGGTCTCACCAGAAACCAACCCTACTGGCCCCTTGACCTTGAACTTCTGGCCTCCAGAACTGGGAGGAAATACATTTCTGTTGTTTAAGCTACCCAATCTATGGTATTCTCTTATGGAAGTCCCAGCAAACTAACACATGATTTCCAATAAATACAGACGATAGATGCTTTCAGTATTTTAGGCGTCTTAAATATCCCAGTGATTCTCAGAGAAATCTCACTTTTAGACTCATCATCCCATCTGACTTCCTGCTCAAGACAGTATGGACATTTCTGTATCCCCAACCTAAAGAGTACCTCTTCTGAGAAATATATTAAACTTTATATATAATGGCAGAATACAAACTATTTGGTAACTCACCCATAAAATGTGAGATAAAGGAAACCAATCCTTTTCCCAAGTTTTAGAACTTCTCCTCGTTTGTTGGATGCTCCGGTGAGTCGCACTATGCCTACGTTCTTGAGGCTGGAGAGCCACTTGTATGCATGTTCATCATTTTTTAAAACATCTTCAAAATTCAGAGTAGGTAGCTGGAGTTCCGAGCCCCAGTACTGACATTCTGCGAATTAAGAAGATGAAGAAACCAGATGAGATTACTTTGTTTTCACGTACAGTGATAACCTCAGAGAAGGGACTACTAGTTCCATGAAGCTGGCCTTTGGTTTATTAAATTTAAGTCATACTACAAATGCTCAAGTTACCACATTTTCTTCCTTGGCAGCATGCTAGTCTATTTATATGCCACGGCAGGGATTCATTATACCACATTTGTGGAGGGAATGTAGTTTAGCTTATAGATGGCTCTCAATCTGTATGTCCTCAGGGCTTCTCTGCCTGGATACTGTTTAGAAATAACCCTGAGCACTGTATGTTTTAACAGCCGTCATATTGCTCAACTCTAAATAGATGATACAATTGGAGTGGTGGACTAGCACATTATAGGCCTAATCTTGGGAGTGGGGGGAGTGTTTCCCATGGTAGGTACAGTTCCTTATTTCTTATTTCATCTGATAAGAAGCTTTGGGGTTGAATTGTACTTTGGAGTCAGCAAAAGCTGGCCATGGGAAGGGAAGATGAACAGTGGAATCCTGGGATGCTAGAGTTGAAACATATTCAAGATACCATGGAGGTATCAGATCTCCTGACCTCTGAGTTCACGCTCCTTCAAGAATGTCAGCTCTTCTTTTACAGGTATGAAGTCCCCCAGTCTGTTCCTCATGCCTCAACTATTTCTTCTAAACTCAAACAGGGCTGGTTTTATATGAAAGAGCCTTTTCTCAAAGAGGCACTCTACTTGGCTTTGTTTCAAACATTCAACGATGTGGTCGTTTGCTTTACCATCCCATTTGCTCTTTTCATTTAAGTCTCCAACTTGTAATATCTGATACCAATCAAGAAAGTCTGCAGAAAGAATGTGATAAATGTCATAAATAATGCTTATTGGCTGCCTAACTAGAAAAGTCATTTGGCTTCCAGTTAGGAGAAAAATTTCCCGGGCAAAACATCAGTGGCAAGGACATACATAAATCACCATCTCCTCTTTCCAAAGTTTACCCTAAGTAGGCTCTATCTAGAAACTTAAAAAATATTTGAAACAGCTTTAAGCTTATTGACCCCAAATGAAAAGCATAGGCCCGTCGAGTATTAGAGATGGATGCGATATTAGAGACACAGCTGGTATCTTCACATTGGCATTAGGATTTTCGGTCATCATTAGTTCTGGTTGTTGACCAAAAAGATTGTCTAAACCACACCTGGGGATCCTCCTGGCTCTAGGACACTGAGATGATCTGGTTGAGGACAGGTTTCTCATTGCTGTGCAGACGGTTAGATTAGTATCGTCTACGTGCACATATGACGAATGTGTTATCTCTGTTACAAAGAGCTAAATAATTTATTGATGAACCTTCCTTGTAGTGTTCAGAAGAAAATATTATGTCCCGTTGAGAACAAATCAGCCTTAAGAGTGAGTATGGTCTAGTTGCAGTTTGTCACATAGACCTTCTGAGATGATGGACATATTCTTTATCTGTACTGTCCAGCTACTAACAACACCGTATGGCTATTGAGACTTGACATGTGGCAAGTGGAACTGAGGAACCGCATTTTTAAGTTTCATATTAACTAATTTAAAATTAAGTGCTCACATGTGACCGGTATAAGACAGGACATAAATAAAGGAAAGTGCATGAAGGTACAGAGGCCTGGGTTTAAATAATTTTCCTGCCTCTTACTAGCTAGTCTCTTGGTCTCTTCTCTGAGCCTCTGTCTCATAAATTATAAAATAGCCATGGTTCTATTTACCTTGTCTTTTATTGACAAGGCAGTGAGATTGTACAAAGAGCCTAGTACAGTGCCTGGCACACAGCAGACCAATAATAATAATGGCAGCTAATGTGTGCTAAGTGCTTTCTAGGTGTCAGGAACAGTACTAGGTACTTCCTATACATGATTTCCTTTAATGTGCCCAATAAATACATGCGATAGCTGCTTTCAGTATTTTCATGTTACAGGGAAGGGAACAGAGATCCAAGTCCTATAGCTAATGATTTGCAGAGCTCGTCGGTCAAATCCAGGTGACCGATTCCAAAGTCTGTAATTTTAACAACTGCACATAAAATAAACATTGGGTGCCTTGAAACACTGTCATCCCATGTGTTTTTATGTTACGTGTCTGAATGTCCACAGCTTGTTCTGTCCCTTATGAAGGAAATCGACCAGATAAGGAAGAGAGGAGAGAAAATTCCAGTGGGGAACACTTTGTCTGAACTTGTTCAAGCATGGGTGTTTAAAGATACACCTTGGCTCCTCGTCAGGATTTTAAATGCAGGAAAAACATTATGAGTAGGTTCCATTGCACAACACTACAATGGCATTGCTTTGCACCTTCTGTGAAGTGAACCGAGGCTCAAGAGTCAGCTAGCTTCTCTAATGTATGCCTCTGTAATTGAGGATCCGTGTCAGTCTGGTTTTACTTAAGGCCATTATCACTTTCCAGAGAGCTTTGGTGACTGTGGCCAGGAAGTATACCAAAGAGAGATTGAAAATACATTTTCACGAGAAGTAAATGTTTTTAAAACTTTGAGTTTGTATTTTGACTACTTTGTGGATTCCAGCAGCATCTGCTTAGGGCACATACTAAACACATCTGTCTACATCTATGGCATGTTTCAGTGAATTTGTTCCTACGTGAGTCACTTTCCCATGCTAGAGTAACACGCACACACACACAGCATGCTCTCCAACACACAAGTGCGCACACAACCCCCTCTGTTTAAAAAATACAGAAAGAGCCCTGGCCGGTTTGGCTCAGCGGTTAGAGCGTCAGCCTGCGGTCCGGAGAGACCCGGGTTCGGTTCCCGCTAGGGGCATGTACCTCGGTTGCAGTTTGTCCCCGGCCCTGGTTGGTCGTGCGGGTGGCAGCCACTCGATGTGTCCCTTTCACATCGATGTTTCCCTCTCTCTCTCTTCCTTTCTCTCCCTCCCACTCTGTCTGTACAAAAAATGGAAAAATGTCCTCGGATGAGGATTAAAAAAATAATAATAAAAAATACAGAAAGAGTTAGATTCTTTCGATCAATGTTATACTTCGCATGTGTAAAACCAATCATAGTCTTACAAAGACAGTCGGTATAAAGTAAGACTAGCTATGCCATAGACAGCCTGGTATGTGCCATGAATAACGGACAGGATTTTACTTTCAGAGTGTGGTTACAAAGATTCTTAAGTTCCACGAAGTTCACAGTTCCTAACTAGGACGCTCATGTCGGTGCGCCCTGGCAGGGGCTCTGCAGAAATCAGCGACCCTGGGCCACAGCCCCGTGCAGAACCTGTGTCCGAGGATGAGCCCCTCACACGCTCAGTAATGCTAGGTGTGACTTCCAGGCACAGCACTGTCACTAACCAGTTTCCACACCTATCATCACATTTCGAATATAAACCACTCTAGTTCTCATGAGAGATAAACTACATTTTATGAAGTCCACAGGAAAATCATTCCCTGATATCCGCATAGAAACCTTACCATTGAAAATGTAATTCAGAAGCCTCATTTTCAGTCTTCCTCAACTGCAAAACATGACTAGTAGGGACCCAAAAGAAAACATGTTTGACTAGAGTAAATCATCTGTCAGGTAAATACCTCGAACACAAATTTAAATTTCCCACTTGGGCCTGGATACATAAACAGTATGGAAAATGATGGAATATTGAAGGCACGAACCGCCCCGTCTCATTTAACTTACGGGCCTGCTAATAAATACTTCCTTGAACATGTGCTTCACACATCATAAAGTTTACGAACAGGCTACATGCTGGCTTTCAAGAAACCATTTGTACAGGCTTCCCTTCTCGGGTTAAGAATCGCATTCCTGGATCCTAACTTGCATTTCAGAAAAGGAAAGACACAAAGACGCTCTTTAGTTACAGATTCATGAGTGAGCCTGCTGGGTTGCAACATGTTATTTCAAGAGTTGGGGACCTTCTGTGCATCTGCGCTGATCTGCGCTGTTGGCTCCGAAACAGCCAAGCTCATGTGCTGGGGACCAGCCAACCTCTCGCACTTTTTTCTATGAATACCTCGCATGGGTCCAGTCAAAGCAAAAATCTGACCCCTAGTTGAGGAAAGACACCTGACTGGAAATTGGGCTTTGATTGTTTTCTCTGCTAAGGGGACCCAGCCTGCTTTGGATGTGCTTTTACTTCTTGTCTAGTGAACTCTACATGTTTTTCAAGATTCTAGTTCTGTTTCCTCACTTAGTCTGAGATCTGACCCTGAGATGAGGACTTGAATGCAAGCAATTGTTTTTTATTTATTTTTTTTAAATATTTTTTCTTACTTGATGTGAAAGAGAGAGGAAAGGAGAGGGAGCTAGAAACATCAATGAGAGAGCACATTGACTGGCTGCCTCCTGCATGCCCCCCACTGGTGATCGGGCCCATAGCCTGGGCATGTGCCCTGACTGGGAATCGAACCGGTGACCTCCGGGTGCATGGGTCGATGCTCAACCACGGAGCCACACTGGCTGGGCACATGCAAGCAATTATTAAGGAGGTGTCCTGGAGGTACTGTTAGGAGGTGGGGAAGTAAGACAGGGAAGCCTCTGGAAGGTGTTTTAATCAATGGGTCACTGCTTTTGGCCACAGGGGCTCAGCACTGCCATGGCAACTCTGTAGAGCACACTTCAGAGCTGTCCCCCCCGGGGGCAGGCAAGCTGAGATGCACTGGCCATCACGCCCACCCCCTCTGGTTAAGGGCAGTTCCTCTGGGCATTCGCTCACTCCTGGGTCTCTCTGACCTTCCCTGTGCGTCGTGGCCAAGCATGCTCCCAGCGGAGCAGCCTTCCAGCGGACTGGCAATCCCGCCACAGGAAGCTGCTGGCAAGCACGGGAAGGGTGCTGGGGGGCGATGGTGGGGCCCCGACAGCCTCTGCAGTGCCTCCTTCAGGCTCCGCAGGAGTGGCTGTCTTCTCTGGGCCCCTAGCCCGGATACACGCCACAGTCACAGTGCTTGCCACCCTGTGCTGAAGCCATCTTTCATTTATTCCACACATATTTTTA